GCTTGTGGAGAGTATTAAGCGGTAGGCAGCGGCTTGGCTCTGCCCCTGGCATTGCTGAAGTCCATGGGCGACGGTAACCACTCACCATCAGGTGGGCCGTATGCTCGTCTGCCTATAAGGGCAATAAAAAAAAATAAAAAAATATCCCAACGATATATGTTGAGTATTCGAAGATCGGTTTGAAGATGTTGCGAATTGCGGTTTTTTTTTCTAACGCGAACACAGAGCCGACCCCCTCCACCCCCCACCCCGCCCCGTTCACACGGAATATAAATTTTGAGGATCTCTAATGATACTGGCCCCACACGGGCGCCCCGTATAGGGCAATTTTTTTTTTTTTCATTTACTCGGATTTTGCATCCATATTACATTCATTAACATTTCATATAGTATACTAGAATTAAATAAAAACAATAACATCACGCTTGTTAAACTACACTTTTAACCCAAAAATTTATTTAAAGAAAAAACAGCGAGCAAATTGTTAGCTCGCTGTTTCACTTAATCACTAACTTCAAATCTGATTGATTTTTTTTAATTTTTATCCATCATCCTTTTACAGTTATTACTAAAAACAAGTTGTTAAGTCCATATTACTAGTTGAATGAATGTAACCAGATTTAAAGATTTTTACATTAAACATGCCGCGACCCAAGGACTATATGGGTCCTTTAACCGTAGAAGATACAGACATCTGAACTTTAACTTAAATAGAGTGAGAATCTACAAAACAAGACTATAAACTATAACTTAACTAAGGCTCTGAAGCAGCTAGAGGCAGAGGGCACAGTTTAGTAACTGGTCTCTTAAACACACGATCTTTAAATTGTAAGGAGACTACACGCATTACACCGTCTGCTTCCGGGTGCTTCGCCACAATTCGTCCCAAAAGCCATTTACTTGGAGGTAAATGATCTTCTTTCACTAAGACAACCGTACCAACATTTATGTCGGGGTGATTCTGGGACCATTTGTAACGATGTTGCAACATAGTAAGATACTCAGATCGCCAGCGTCGCCACAGACTTCGTACCATACGTTGCACCTTTTGCCATCGGTTTAAATAGGCAGGTCGAGTATCCACGAAACTTTCTTCAGGGATAGTAACCGATGCTTCGCCGATCAAAAATTGACCAGGAGTCAACGGGAGTTTTATTAACCGCCTTTTAAACGTACCATCCGGCTTTGGAATGAGCTCCCCTCCACGGTGCTTCCCAAGCGCTGTGACATGACCTTCTTCAAACGCGGCTTTTGGAGTGTACTTAACGGTGGGCAGAGGCTTGGCTCTGCTCCTGGCATTGCCGAAGTCCATGAGCGACGGTAACCACTCAATATCAGGTCGGCCATATTCTCGTACCATTGCGTACCAGGTCAATAAAATAATAATAATAAAATAATGTTACCCAGGTAAAAGTAACGCCATCTATCGCCGAATGGTCGAACAAATAGTCGAACGAATATCGAAGGATCTAGTAAGATCTACAACGCTCGAGAAGTACGACGCCATCTGCTGTCAGATTGCGGAAATACAATACTCGACTTTTATGGAATATTCTCGATAATTCTAGGGATGTGGTATCGGCTAAAAAAGCGTTGCAGAGATGGCACGCAGTTACTCAGTAATCGGTACTACTCGAAGCGAAACAGCGAACCGATCACCTGAAGCGAAGTAGAAGAAACGAATTGAAAAATTTAAGGTATTTTAAGTGTTCTAAGTGCTAATACAGTGTTGACTTGTAATTCGGTAGAATTTTATTTATCTCGAACCATAGCGCGTAACCACAGAATAATCATAATCAGTAATAACAAACGCGAAATAAAATCGTAAAACGAATTTTAATTATACCCTTTGTCTACTGATACACTCATTACATAAAACTTCATTTAAAAAGAGAAAATGATTAAAAAATTGCATTTCCCTTAAATGACTTAATTAAATAGCATTGGTTACAGTAATAATTATTCTTTATTAGTCACACATATATGACTAGGCTGCTACCTTATACAGTGTGCTCTGTTTTGAAGTCAGCAAAATAAATAAATAAATAAATATTGTTCACACTATTGATAATGTTGTAATTGAAATATTGTTTAAAATTATCCTGTGCTTCAGTTGAAAGAGCAGAACGGACATTAGAATAAATAAATAAAATCCTATGACCAAACCCTCTTTAAATTAATATTCTTGTTGTGCAACGTCAAGTCCGAAAAGACTTGGTCGGTCAGAAATGGTGGTTGGCTAAGCGAGATGTCAATGTCAGTTGAGTTGGGATAGTTGTAACGGTGTCATTCGGTAATTAATGCTCACTTTTAGACTGAAGTCCGAATGGTATGCACGTACTGCCAACCGCAATCCAGCCTCGCCGTGTTCCGGTAATCTGTTTCCATCCAGTTTTTGTTTGTTGATTTTGAATAGATTTTTTGTTGAATCGTTCTAAATACTGGGAATTGTTTCCGTGATTAACCATAGACAATAACCTGTTCGGTCATAAATGTTTTTATTACCCGTTGTCATATATTTTTATTGCATAGATGGGTGGACGAACTCACAGGCCCCCTGGTGTTAAGTGGTTACCGGAGCCCATAGACATCTACAACTTAAACGCCGCCACCCACCTTGAGATATGAGTTCTAAGGTCGGCTGCCCCACACTTCAAACTGAATTTCATTAATACTTCACGGCAGAAATAGGCAGGGCGGTGATACCTACCCGTGTGAACTGACAAGAGGTCCTACCACCAGTACCAGTATACATGAACGAACACCCTGTACATTATAACAAACACAAACTAATCAGTCATGATATTCAGAAATCATGTTTACTAAATTAGAAATTTCTTGTTTTCTTTAATTAAAATCTTTCGGAAGAAAAATTTTGAACGAGAATAGTTCATTTTAATCGATATGTTGGGCCCGTGCAGTTCTGTTCTCGTGCTTTTGTCCGCGGTACTGGCTAAAGTAACTATTGCTTTCAAATATTCGATCATCTCCATTTCATTACAACGAAAATGAATACAAAGTTATTTTATTATTCATTAAGTCTCAACAAACCGTAAGCACGATAACGCAAAACATTAATGAACTCAAGACAGTTGATTGGCTTGGTCATTCCCAGCTTTAATGTTCGTGAGGTATAACCCATTAATGAAAAGTACGCCAAGTGTAATATACTCTCCTAGACTGCAATTGCTTACCATAGAAATTCAAATACTGTTATAACTAAAATAAGAATTCGAATATTACAAAAAAAAAAAAAACATTAAATTTCAGAACACAAACGGCGAGCTCGCGAATGATGCTTCACTGAAAATTAATTCTGACGTGGCCGATAAAAGCGATTCAATATTTTTTGTTGTACCAAAGGAACCTGGGTTTGACTCGCATCTCGTCATTAATGATATCATAAATGCGAATAGACACGGTCTCAGTCATGAAGTCGATCATCCGCAGAACGTACCTAATTATTTTACAGACGATAACGTTAAACACAACACCGAATCTGCAAATGACGATGCTGCATATATACTTTATCATCTTCTTAGGGTGAGTTCATATAAAAATTACTAGATAGTTCCTAAAATCAACACAGCTGATAACTTGTTTTTATTCAAATTAGCATCCTCACTCCTCGAACCTATAGCACCGTCGATTGATAACGTCATCACACCGACGGTAAAATTAAATAGTCTAAAATGGGACACTGAAATAAAACCTTTTTTATCTGGGCCATTATTGAGTCGCCTGACTTCCGCTAAAGCGTTTTAGGACGTAGGCGGAATTAAAATGATTAAAGCCCCCATCAACTGGCATCCAAACCTCGAATGAGATTAAGTGGTACTACCAATCCTGCTAGGTCAGATACAAACGCGGCTCAGGGAGTATAATCAACTCCCGGCTGGATCTTTATTTTTTATTGCCCTTGTAGGCAGACGAGCATACGGCCTACCTGATGGTGAGTGGTTACCGTCGCCCATGGACTTCAGGGGCAGAGCCAAGCCTACCTACCGTGGATCTTCGTAAAACCGGTTAAAGTTTAGTTCAGTACCAACTGTCACTCGAGCAGCGTTCACTCTGTTTGCCTGGATCTGCTTATCTGAAGTAAGATCTACATTTTCCTGATTTTTAGCATCGAAATCCAAACCTTTAGAAAAATCTTCCTTCTTTTTCCGAAATTATTCATGTTCTTACCTTTTCCTTTAAATGGCAATAAGATAAAATTCCAATACTGTGACGTGATTATAGTCATAGAATTCCCGATTAAAGATTTATATGTTACTTAAGTACTTTTTTAAGCAGATTTTAAGTAATTAAAGAGAAAAAGTTTTCATAAAATGTTTTTTTTATTCTTTTTCCAGAATACCAACAACAACGACCATTCCGATTTCAAAGAGGCGAAAGACAGACATCGTTCTGCTCTCAGAGCCCAATGCCAGAAAGTAGAACACTGCGTCCAAAAATGTCATCTTAGCTGCAAAGAAAGTTACGACGAATTCAACATTTGCTCATCGTAGAAGCCAAAAGGATGCAAAAAAACGAAATGCGGAAGGACTTTGCCACCAAATTGGCTGTAAACGTATTTGAATCTTCGAATTAAACGAATAATCCGTTGCTTTGTCGTTTTATTACTGTTGTTTATTGGCAGACGAGCTTACCGCACTAATTGTTGGTTACCAGAACTCTCGGCTACAACCCAGTTAATATATGGTTACAAAGTTGTGATGGTATTGCAAACCGATTTTTCTGCTTTTATAATTAAGAATCTAGAGTTGCTGGTAACAGATATAAACATGCTCTCACAACAATATCTTTGTTGGCTTAATGACCCATAAGTGAAAAGATGGGTAATAATTATAGGCCAACGTGTCGTTAATCGACGATAATTAGATGAGTGGTTATCGATTCTATCTGGGTTTTTTTTCGGGCCGGGGGCCGAACCTCTTACGAGGTCCACCCGCCTAGGGGGCGCGCGGGGTATGTGAGACTCAACTATCTGCAGGTGTTGAGAGCAGATCGCGGGCCCAAGGAATTTTAGGGCCCACCCACTAAACGACTCCCCTGCACTCTTACACACGACGTCCGATCTCCGTCCGAGGTCAAAACCCGGTCAGAGTAGAGGGGTTCCCGCGGTCAACACTACAACCAGACACGCGGCGCCACCCCGAGGACGCCCGACCGACGGGTCGTCGAGGCGATAGTCGACGACCAACGACGTCGGTCTCCGCGGTACGGCGGCCGTACCAGGCCGCCCGGGCGATGCCGCTGGTGTTCCGGGATACCCCGCTAGGCCAGAATCAGCCTGCCGGGTCGGAACGCGATATACCGCCGACCGGGTTGTTCTTCCACAGTATGTTCGGCGACGACAGCGACGACGAAAATGCGGACCGCATTGCAGTCTGCAGCCGCCGACGCGTCGTCCCGTCCTCCTGGTGCCAGCGCGCTAGAGTGACGGTAGCGTGCGGCGCAGCCTCAACCCCCTTAGGTCGCTCCGTGACCATCACCGGGAGGAGACTGCCTCCTCATAGGGGCAGGAGCTGGACAAACGCCCTCCTCCGACCCCCGGCTCAGCGGCGGCGGCACGGCGCCGAGAGGGAAGAAGAGCTCTCCCTCTCCCATTCCGCCGCCTCCTTCTGCGAGATGGCGGACTCGCAGAAGTCGAGCATCGCCTGCCAGGACTCGTCGCTGCCGAGCATCGCCTGCCAGGACTCGTCGCTGCCGAGCATCGTAGCCACGACGGTCGGAAGCGACAAGTCCGGTCCTATTTTTGCAACGAGGACGCGGCGCTGCTCCGCGAATGCGGGGCAACACGCGAGCGTGTGCTCCGCCGCGTCCTCGTTGCAGCTACTGCATCGCTCGGAAGGTGAGACGTCCTCCGGTGCTTCACCCAGTCCGAGAGGACTGGGCGGATCGCCTCGACGGTCCGTCGCCCGTTGGCGGAGTCCCCCAGGCGGCGAGACCACGCCTCGAGCACGGCACGCCGGGATTGAAGCTTCCACGCTCGAACTTCCGCCGCGCCGGGACGCGGCACCCCCCTGGAGTGGAGATCGATTATATCTGCTGCATCAACCAGCAATTCTGCTCTGTCAATATGCTTTTTGAGGTGCACCCAATGAAATGTTTTTACTGTTAATTCGGGCGGCATAACTTTTCGGTCTTTTTCAACAATCAATACTGTTTTAGTGTTAAAGACTACACTATGAAACAGAAAAGGAGTTGAAATACAAAAAAAACATCCAGATTTTAGTCTTAACTTTATTTTTCTTAATATCCCAATGTTGAGTATTCGAAGATCGGTTTGAAGATGTTGCGAATTGCGGTTTTTTTTTCTAACGCGAACACAGAGCCGACCCCCCTTCACCCTCCACCCCGCTCCGTTCACATGGAATATAAATTTTGAGGATCTCTAATGATACTGGCCCCACACGGGCGCCCCGTATAATGCATTTTTTTTTTTTTCATTTACTCAGATTTTGCATCCAATTTACATTCATTAACATTTCATATAGTAGACCAGAATTAAATAAAAACAATAACACCACCCCTGTTAAACTACACTTTTAACCCAAAAATTTATTTAAAGAAAAACAGCGAGCAAATCTCAAACCATAGCGCGTAGCAACAGAATAATAATAATCAGCAATAACAAACGCGAAATAAAATCGTAAAACGAATTTTAATTATACCCTTTATCTTTGTCTACTGATACACTCATTACATAAAACTTCATTTAAAAAGAGAAAATAACTAAAAAATAGCATTTCCCTTAAATGACTTAATAGCATTGGTTACAGTAATAATTATTCTTTATTAGTCACACATATATGACTAGGCTGCTACCTTATACAGTGTGCTCTATTTTGAAGTCAGCAAAATAAATAAATAAATATTTTTCCCACTATTGATAATGTTGGAATTGAAATATTGTTTAAAATAATCCTGTGCTTCAGTTGAAAGAGCAGAACGGACATTAGAATAAATAAATAAAATCCTATGAACAAACCCACTTTAAATTAATATTCTTGTTGTGAAACGTCAAGTCCGAAAAGACTTGGTCGGTCAGAAATGGAGGTTGTCTAAGCGAGATGTCAATGTTAGTTGGGTTGGGATAGTTGTAACGGTGTCGTTCGGTAATTAATGCTCACTTTTAGACTGAAGACCGAATGGTATGCACGTACTGCCAACCGCGATCCAGCCTCGCCGTGTTCCGGTAATCTGTTTCCATCCAGTTTTTGCTTGTTGATTTTGAATAGATTTTTTGTTGAATCATTCTAAATACTGGGAATTGTTTCCGTGATTACCCATAGACAATAACCTGCTCGGTCATAAATGTTTCTATTACCCGTTGTCTATATTTTTATTGCATAGATGGGTGGACGAACTCACAGGCCACCTGGTGTTAAGTGGTTACCGGAGCCCATAGACATCTACAACGTAAACGCCGCCACCCACCTTGAGATATGAGTTCTAAGGTCGGCTGCCCCACACTTCAAACCGAAACGCATTAATACTTCACGGCAGAAATAGGCAGGGTGGTGATACCTACCCGTGCGAACTGACAAGAGGTCCTACCACCAGTACCAGTATACGTGAACGAACACCCTGTACATTATAACAAACACAAACTAATCAGTCATGATATTCAGAAAGCATGTTTACTAAATTAGAAATTTCTTGTTTTCTTTAATTAAGATTTTTCGGAAGAAAAATTTTGAACGAGAACAGTTCATTGTAATCGATATGTTGGGCCTGTGCAGTTGTATTCTCATGCTTTTGTCCGCGGGACTGGCTAAAGTAACTATTGCTTTTAAATATTCGATCATTTCCATTTCATTACACCGAAAATGGATACAAAGTTATTTTATTATTAATTACGTCTCAACAAACCGTAAGCAAAACACGATAAAAAAAATTCAAGCATTTCTTTTTAATGAACTCAAGACAGTTGATTGGCTTGGTCATTCCCAGCTTTAATGCCCGTGAGGTATAACCCATTAATGAAAAGTACGCTAAGACCGCAAATGCTTACTATAGAAATTCAAATACAAAAACACTTGTTATTACTAAAATAAAAATTTTACTATTACAATAAAAAATAAAAATAAAAACGTTAAATTTCAGAACACTTACGGCGAACTCGCGAATTATGCTTCAGTGAAAATTAATTCTGACGTGGCCGATAAAAGCGATTCAATATTTTTTGTTGTACCAAAGGAACCTGGGTTTGACTCGCATCTCGTCATTAATGATATCATAAATGCGAATAGACACGGTCTCAGTCATGAAGTCGATCATCCGCAGAACGTACCTAATTATTTTACAGACGATAACGTTAAACACAACACCGAATCTGCCAATGACGATGCTGCATATATACTTTATCATCTTCTTAGGGTGAGTTCATATAAAAATTACTAGATAGTTCCTAAAATCAACACAGCTGATAACTTGTTTTTATTCAAATTAGCATCCTCACTCCTCGAACCTATAGCACCGTCGATTGATAACGTCATCACACCGACGGTAAAATTAAATAGTCTAAAATGGGACACTGAAATAAAATCTTTTTTTATCTGGGCCATTATTGAGTCGCCTGACTTCCGCCAAAGCGTTTTAGGACGTAGGCGGAATTAAAATGATTAAAGCCCCCATCAACTGGCATCCAAACCTCGAATGAGACTAAGTGGTACTACCAATCCTGCTAGGTCAGATACAAACGCGGCTCAGGGAGTATAATCAACTCCCGGCTGGATTTTTTATTTTATTGCCCTTGTATGCAGACGAGCATACGGCCTACCTGATGGTGAGTGGTTACCGTCGCCCATGGACTTCAGCAATGCCAGGGGCAGAGCCAAGCCGCTGCCTACCGTGGATCTTCGTAAAACCGGCTAAAGTTTAGTTCAGTACCAATTGTCACTGGAGCAACGTTCACTCTGTTTGCCTGGATCTGCTTATCTGAAGTAAGATCTACATTTTCCTCATTTNGGCGGCGTTGACGCCCCCCTTCTTCTTATTTCGGCTCCTGCCGGGCCCCGCCTTCGCAGGCTGGGACGGGGCAGGAGCATTCTTCTTAGTCTTCCGCTGGCCGGAGACTGGTGCTCCTGAGGGGGCGGGTTTTGGTGCCCCCGTATTTTGTTGGTTCCGCGGGTCCGTTGGTCCAGGCTTGGCCGGAACAGCAGCCGAGGCGACCGGGCATGCCGCAGGTGTCGCGCCCTTTGTAAGGCCGCCATACGTTCTGACGGCCACTGTTTTCCGGGGTGCTGGCACGGGCGCACTGCCTTTCGCCTCATGGGCGAGGGGCGGCCTCGCACGCTCCACCCTGGAGCTGCGTGCTTCCTGTATGAGGAGCTGCCGCCTCAGCTCCTCGACCTCAGTGAGGCCTTCTGCTCCGGGCGGAGGAAGGACAGGGGCCGAGCTGCGTTGCCGCTCAATGAGGTCGGCAACCATCGTTCGCAACTCGGCCATGTCCACTCTAAGTTGCCCATTCGCCGCCTGAAGTTGGCCATTCTCCGCCGATACTTGCTCGAGCCGGGTGTGCAGCAGGGCCACTTCCTGCCGCAAGCCCGCCGTCTCCACGGTTGTGGTGCGGTCCACAACGTCCTGCAGCCTCTCCTCCAGTGTGGCGGCCGCCGATTTCATGGCCGACACTTCGGTGCCCTTGAGGCCTCCAGTCGATTTGGCTGCAATAGTCGCAACTATTTTGCCAACTATCTGACAAGATCGGAGGGGGTCAGAGGGACCCACCAACGTCAGGGCTCTCTGTAGGCGCTCAATCTCTTCTAGCTTCCTTTCCTTTTTATTTTTCGCCTCACGGCAGGCGGCCCTGGACTGCGCCGAAGAGGCAGCGTCCAGTCCGCAAGACGACGGCTTGTCAAAGTCAGTGGCGGGCGGCGCCGAAGCAGCCGCCGGCCCTTCCGCCAACGCCATGTACTTGGCGCTGGAAGGCTCTCCTTCCGACGAGTCGGACTGAGCGGAGGATGCCGGCTGTCGAGCCGACTTCCGCTTCCGTCGTGTCCGCTGTCGGGTGCTGTCCACTAACAGCGCTGGCGTCTCCCGCCCACTAGACGCATCGCCCCTCGCGGAGCTCCGCGCCGAGTGCAACGAGATCAAACTCTCGCAGCGCTCGAGTAGCACGGTTGGGACTCTGTCCCTTACGCGACCCGTGCTGTCGCCCCCTTCCTCGTGGCAGTGTGTGCCCCCCCCAGAAACGGTGGGGCAGCGTGCGGCCGATCGCTCGACCGCACGGAGGGATTCTCCCCCCGCGGAGCGGGAGGTACCCTCCTGGGGTNAGAACTCACGGCGTAAGCACCTTAATGCTACAACCCACTTAATATATGGTTACAAAGTGGTGATGGTATTGCAAACCGATTTTTCTGCTTTTCTAATTAGGAATCCAGAGTTGCTGGTAACAGATATAAACATGCTCTCACAACAATATCTCTTTGTTGGCTTAATGACCCACAAGAGAAAAGACGGGTAATTATTGTAGGCCAACATGTCGCCAATCGACGATAATTAGAGGAGTGGTTATCGATTCGATCTGCTTTTTCTTTTTCGGGCCGGGGGCCGAACCTCATACGAGGTCCCCGCGCCCAAGGAATTTTAGGGCCCACCCACTAAACGACTCCCCTACACTCTTACACCCGACGTCCGATCTCCGTCCGGGGTCAAAACCCGGTCAGAGTAGGGGGGTTTCCGCGGTCAACACTACAACCAGACACGCGGCGCCACCCCGAGGACGCCCGACCGACGGGTCGTCGAGGCGATAGTCGACGACCAACGATGTCGACAAGCGACAAGTCCGGTCCTATTTTTGTAACGAGGACGCGGCGCTGCTCCGCGAAAGCGGGGTAGTACACGAGCGTGTGCTCCGCCGTGTCTCGTTGCAGCTACTGCAGTGGTGGCACTTCAGCATCGGCTCCCTCCGCGCTACGAGGTGCAGGTAGTGACCGAAACAGCCATGTCCCGTGAGCACCTGCGTCGCTCGGAAGGTGCAACGTCCTCGATCGCGATGCGCCTAGTCCGAGAGGACCGGGCGGATCACCTCGACGGTCCGTCGCCCGTACGCGGAGTCTGCCATGCGGCGAGACCACGCCTCGAGCGCGGCACGCCGAGATTAAAGCTTCTGCGCTCGAACTTCCGCCGCGCCGGGACGCGGCTCCCCCTGGAGCGGAGATCGATTCTATCTGATCTGTGGTTTTTTTTTCTAACGTTAACCCAAGCTCCCAATTTCACATGGAATATAAATTTTGAGGATCTCTTATGATACGTTATGAGAGAAGGGGAAGTAAAAGTAGAATAAGCTCCTGTAGACTAAAAATAAAAACTCTATTGCTTTGAAGGGACCATATAAAAAGTTATTGGCGAAACCGCAATACAACAAGCAATAACCTTCGGCACAGGTTACCATGATACCCGGGTAAGCCTTCATTTCAACAAAACCTGCTCAATACAGGCTGGTGCCAGTTTATCGACACCCGGAGATTTCATTCCTGGGTAGCGGGAGATATCAGTGATCCAGAGTGGAGAGACAGTGGAGAATACCTATAATGCCACCAGAACATACCATACCCTTTTTTTTCACTCGACTTTCATTCCAGAGTGAAAATAACACGAAAACAACTTTTCGGTGGTGGTTTGCACAAAGAAAACTCATGGTTAAGTTAAGCTCGCTTTTGTACATTCGCTTTTATACTGTGTCGGCTTAAGAGAGCCACTTTCAAGGTAAATGATTAACATCAAACAAAATCATCAAATAAAAATCAAACCCGCAAAAATATAATTTGCGTAATTATTGGTGGTAGGACCTCTTGTGAGTCCGCACGGGTATATACCACCACCCCACCTATTTCTGCCGTGAAGCAGTAATGCGTTTCGGTTTGAAGGGTGGGGCAGCTGTTGTAATTATACTTGAGACTTTAGAACTTATATCTCAAAGTTGGACCATGGACTTCAGCAATGTCAGGGGCAGAGCCAAGCCGCTGCCTACCGCGGGGTGGCGCATTTACGTCGTAGATGTCCATGGGCTCCAGTAACCACTTAATTGTGAGCTCGTCCACCCATTTAAACAATAAAAAAAAAATGCCAAGAACATTTATACCTTGTGTTTCTATAGTAATGGATACCCCCAGTTGCTCATGCATGCGCAGAAGATAATGAAATCAAAACAAAAGGACATGAACTCAAAAGAAAGTGCCTCAGTTAACACTGAACCATTTTTTTTTATTGCTTTTGTAGGCAGACGAGCATACGGCCCACCTGATGGTAAGTGGTCACCGTTGCTCATGGACGTCAGCAATGCCAGGGGCAGAGCCAAGCCGCTGCCTACCATAAAATACTCTCCGCAAGCCTCGTTTGAAGAAGGACATATCATAGCGCTCGGAAAACACCGTGGAGGGGAGTTCATTCCAAAGCCGAATGGTACGTGGCGTGGTAAAAAAGATCTTTGGAAACGCACTGACATAAAATTTGACATAAAATCTTTAATGACAATTAATTTTTGTTCATTAAATAAAGACTAGTGGTCCCCCGGTAGTCGAAATTCGACTATAATCAATTGAAATTATAAGTTTGAACATTATTAAGGTTCTATTGTCAAAGACAATTATACTTCTAAAAACACAGATTTCGCCAAGAGTATGTACACTTTAGACAAAATTAAATATTAATCAAGACAACCTATTCTTAATTTGACCACAGTTTATAAGCAAAAAGAAAAGTTTGACAATAAACAAATAGTATGCATGCGTGTGTGTGTCAAATTCATGGTAGTGTGTAACGTTTTTTTTTTTTAATTGATATAATGTATTTTTATTCTTCTTTTTTTTTTATTGCCCTTGTAGGCAGACGAGCATACGGCCCACCTGATGGTGAGTGGTTACCGTCGCTCATGGACTTCAGCAATGCCAGGGGCAGAGCCAAGCCGCTGCCTATCGCTAATTCATAATTTAAAAAATTATTAACATTCTGCACTCCTTCTCTATATTCTCTATAAGTGTGGGAAATTTCATACTCCTACGTCCGCGCAATTTTTGTTAAAAAGGGAACGTTTTCTTTTTTTTTTTATTGCCTAGATATGTGGACGACTCACAGCCCACCTGGTGTTAATTGGTTACTGGAACCCATAGACATCTACAACGTAAATGCACCACACACCTTGAGATATAAGTTCTAAGGTCTCAGTATAGTTACAACGGCTACCCCACCCTTCAAACCGAAACGCATTACTGCTTCACGGCAGAAATAGTTGGGGTGGTGGTTACCTACCCGCGCGGACTTACAAGAGGTCCTACCACCAGTAATTACACAAATTATAATTTTGCGGGTTTGATTTTTATTACACGATGTTATTCCTTCACCGTGGAAGTCAATCGTGAACAATTGTTAAGTACATATTTCACTAGAAAAATTGGTACCCGCCTGCGGGATTCGAACACCGTTGCATCGCTATATACGAATGCACCGGACGTCTTATCCTTTAGGCCACGACGACTTCATCTTTACGATTTTGCTTCACGTATTAATATATAGATAATATAAATTCTGATAGTTCAATAAATTAATTACAAATCGTACAATGACGACGCACTACCGCGTATGTAGCTTCGGATAATTAACAATACACACCCATGAAATTAAATCAATGTTGAAATTAAAATTACAGATTAAACGGGCGTAAAAATCGTGATTTGATTACATTACACACGATTTTAGATTGAAAAACTAATTAAAATCACACTACTTGAGTTTTTAAATTTAAGCTGTGAAAAGTGAGAAGCCTTCATTTGTACACCAGACGTGGTCGGATCGAAATGATCGCTTTCAACAAAATGGCGTCTAATATTGCTGTTGTCATTGCGTGTATCGTGAGTACTACTACTGTTATTTTCTTTAATTATAACGTTGCGATAAAATTTAGTCCTCGAATGGAGGCCACGGATGGGTACAAGGAGCGTGGGGCGTCCTCGAACCAGGTGGACTGACGACTTAGTGCGCACGGCGGGAAGTCGTTGGATGCGGAAGGCGGAGGACCGCATTATGTGGAAGGAATTGGGGAAGGCCTATCTCCAGCCGTGGGCAGATAAAGGCTGATGATGATGATGATAAAATTGTTTCATTCAAGAGCTCACAGCAAATATTTTCTGTCAGCGAAATGCAAAGGAAACAAGAGTCAGTACAACCCCGAATCCCGATCAGGCCATGGCAGTTAGCAGGATAGCCAACCACTTAGCCAACGTTTTTTTTTATTTTTTTTTATTGCTAGGTGGGTGGACCAGCTCACAGCCCACCGGTATTAAGTGGTTACTGAAGGCCATAGACATCTACGACGTAAATGCGCCACCCACCTTGAGATATAAGTTCTAAGGTCTCAAGTATAGTTACAACGGCTGCCGCACCCTTCAAACCGAAACGCATTACTGCTTCATGGCTGAAACAGGTGGGGTGGTGGTACCTATCCATGCGGACTCACAAGAGGTCCTACCACCAGTAAAACATTAAGTTACAGTAAGTTACATTCTCCATTTTGTTATTAAAATTTTAAACTGATGATGAAAACAGGTGACAATCAGTTCTTCAAAGAAATTTCTGACATCACTAAAATTTGTCAAACTGATATTTATACCAGACATAAATAGAAATTCGGTTCACAAACAATAAAAATAGGCAGAGTTTTGGTATATTTTGGTGTGGACCTACTCAGTAAATGCCAATTGGCAATCACAATATCCTAATAGGTACCCAGAGAATAATGCCCAATCTCCAATGAATATATTAGTCCAGAACTAACACTAACGAAGAAGTAAGTGTTGCTACTAAGTGGCAACGTCGCACAGTCAAATTATATAAATGTTTTGTTTCCTATTCCACAGGCATTAAGCTCAGTAACTTCAATGCCGGGTTCCGCTATTCTGAAAAAGCTCTACGAGCAGGCGGCGGCCCACAATCATAGACCGATCCTTGTGATGGTCACGAATATAGACGGTCACAAATTCAAAGACTACCTTATACCGAAATACGACAAGAATCATTTATCTGAATCAGTGGAGGATAATCCCGAAGTCGTAATGGTGAGGGGCCTATGATTTTAGTCAACTTAGGCAAACAAAACATTAAATGTATACACACGTTCGTAAATAATGCCATTTTTTATTGGCGAATGTCACTAAACAATCTTACTACTGGATGAGGTTGGAAGCTCAGGCATTAGTGTCATGAATGTCGGGCCCTTACTGGTGGAACAAGTGGATGCCGGTAAGTAGTCCATTTCAGTAATAGAGAAAGGGGGCAGAAGATTCAGAAGAAAAAAAATTATCAGTGTTAGCAGGTCGGAATCTTGTTGGCGCCTGGATGACATTCACCGATGATCTGGTAGATTCTAATGTCCTTTATTTTTTAATCCAAAGCCAATTAGAATTTCGCTAAAGGATATAGGTCTGATTTACCAAACGAGTCAGCCGATGAGGCATATACTGATATACCTACAACTACAAATTTACTAAAGTGCATTGAATATTGGGTACAATATAGCAGAATATGCTTTATCGTATACCAGTATAGAATTAAAACAAGTTCAAAACATTAAACCAAAAAAGACAGTTTTAATCTTACGTGATTTTTTAAAAATGAATTGTGTTTTAATTGGAGTCTAAATTACAAATCTCTTTTTCATTAATTAATTTATAATAATAATAATAATAATAATGTTTTTATTGCAGGTAACCATGACTCATATAAATTGTTAATAAGACTTAGACCTATGTTAGTAGTTATATTTACATCACAATGAATTACTGTCGTAACATCCCATGGGAGATGTAATGATAATTAAATGTACATTTAATAATACACATTACATTTAATAGTACATTTAATACATATATACATATATATATACATATTTAATTTAACGGCCGTCTGGTGTAGTGGTAAGTGACATGGTCACTACATAAGGGGGTCGCGGGTTCGAATCCCGCCAAGGGAAGATATTTGTATGATAAATATAAATGTCTTTTCCAGGGTTATGGATGTATATTAAATATATGTATGTATATAATAAAAATCTTACATTTATTTCCGTTATCTGGTACCTGTAACACAAGTTCTTTACGAACTTATCACGGGACTAGTTAACGTGGCGTGATCGTTAGTAAATATTTATTTATTTATTTATTTATTTAATAACAGTACATTTAATAATTTAATAATAATTAAATGTACCACTTTAACCAGTAAACTGTATAAGGTTTTGCGTGTACAATTATTTTTTCTCCGTGATATCAGTACATACGATTCGAATTTATTTTGTCTCCGTTGTATCAGCTAAGTTTTGGTAGTACAATAATAAGACTTTTAGTCTAAGCTTTATGTTAATTCCAATTACTCTGTTGAGTGCAAGGCTTTTTTGCTTTTCTATACCAGAGTTTTGGGTTTGGACCTTTTTCGTGGTACCTTCCAAAATTATCAGTCCGTACTGCTTGTATCTTCAAAGGGCTATATCTGATTGTGTTGATTCTCCAATAAATCTAAATTACAGGTGAAGCCAAAACCAGGAAACGAACCGAATTACTTGCCACACAACGACTTGGGTCCCATAAAATCTTACTACTCAAAACCAAAACCAGGATACGACGTTAACCCATTGATTTACCGACCGCGTACTGAAGACTCGGAAATCGCTTTAATGGGACCGAAAAAAACATCGAAATCCCCGATCCTGAAGGAGCTTCTGCGATTCTCCAATAATCTCCGATGCAGCGCAAAAAATCAATGCCAGGATTCGTGCTCGGACAAATTTAGCGGAAGGACAAAAGATAGCTGCGCTAAGAAATGCGAAGTGAAATACGATTGTGAAGAAGAGAAGGAAGACTCGTGTGAGCTAGGAGACTGTTATGATTCGAACGAATGCAACGACGACGAATGCCAGCCAAGTACCAGAGGTATTAAACTTGAATCTGTTAAAGCCGGATGTACGAGATGTTAAATAAAGGGATTTGCAACTGATTTGTTTTCTTCTGTACTTTATATAAGACTAGCGACCCGCCCTCGCTTCGCTTCGGAAACTGTAATTTATTATTGATTTCTCCACTATTTAATGGATGTTATTATACATATAAACCTTCCTCTTCAATCACTCTATCTTTTAAAAAAACCGCATCAAAATCCGCGTAGTTTTAAAGATTTAAACATACATAGGGACAGACAGATATAGGGACAGAGAAAGCGACTTTGTTTTATACTATGTAGTGATAATGACTAGCCGTACTCGCCCGTTTCGCGGGGTATTTAAAATTAACTTTATTATTTATTATCATTATTATAAAAAAAAAGCTTTTACTTTATCATAATCTAGCATTTTTTAATTTTTACTCTTTGGAATGAAGGTACTACAGTACATTATTATTATCTATGCGACTGTCCACAGCTGTCAATCATATTACATTTCCAAGACGACAATATTTTCATTGCTGTCAAAATTAAATAAAAACAGGACCTAAAACTAAATTATTCACACAAAAAAATACACACACGGTATTGGAATTATAAAAGCAATGTGCTCAAACACAACTATACTGTCGGGAGTTTCACAAATATGCTCTGGTAATGTCGTAATAATGAAAATGTATCGCCGCTCCTAAAAATTTCCTAGACCAGCAAAATGTCTTTGAGGCCGGTAAGTGAAAACTTAATATTAAGTAATAGCAATAGGAGAAATGGGAAGATTAATAAGATACTTAGATCTGGACCACGAGGCTACCGGTGTAGGGCATTTTGATTCAACCATTTTTGTTCCGATAACTAACTAAACTACTGCGACTAACAAAACTAACTAAAGCAGATCATAGAAAACTGGACTGAACGCCACTTCATTTGATTGAGGTGTATCAAAAATTTAGAATCTGCTCAAAGATTGAGCTTCAAATCTACCTATTAAATAATCAAAATCAAACCCGCAAAATTACAATTTGCGTAATTACTGGTGGTAGAACATGGTATAACGCATGGGTAGGTCTCACCACCCTATTTCTGCCGTGAAGCAGTAATGCGTTTCGGTTTGAAGGGTGGGGTAGCCGTTGTAACTATAGAGAGAGAGAGAGAGAATACACTTTATTGCACACCAAAACACAATTTACATTCAAAAAAACAATCAAAAAACAGATAAATTTGTACAATAGGCGGTATATAATAACTATACTGAGACCTTAGAACTTATATCTCAAGGTGGGTGGCCCATTTACGTTGTAGATGTCTATGGGGTCCAGTATCCGTCTACCCATCTATGTATTGAAAGAAAAAATACGACCGAGTTGTCCTGTGACCACAGACACTTTTCATAAGTACCTTCATTAATCCCTTATCATCCTTGCTTAACTGCAGTGCACGATTATTTTATTCGCATAACGTCTGTAATAATTAAACTTAATTTATTGCAGTAGTAGTGTAATTAATATTTTCTATTTCATTCAGGATAACACCAAAAACGATATGTCTAAAAGGATAAGTAGTTCGTCTATTTATTCTGTAAGTAAATTTTGTACAGATTTGTTTAGAACTTGTTCCCAGATTATGATGTGGCTTCACTCTGTTAATTTTTATTTTTTTTTATTGCTTAGGTGGATGGACGAGCTCATAGCCCACCTGGTGTTAAGTGGTTACTGGAGCCTGTAAACATCCACAACGTAAATGCGCCACCCACCTTGAGATATAAGTTCTAAAGTCTCAAGTATAGTTACAACGGCTGCCCCTCCCTTCAAACCGAAACGCATTACTGCTTCTCGGCAGAAATAGGCGGGTGTATGATGATAGGTGTATCATGTATCTTCTGTGTTGTACTTCTATATTATACTTATTTTTACTGGTTGTACGACGTCTTGTGAGGCCGCGCAGTAACGCGTTTCGGTTTGAAGGGTGAAACAGCCGTTGATCTGTAAGAACTGAGACCTTAGAATTCTTGTCTCAAATTGGACAGCCGCATTTACGTGGTAGATGTCTATGGGCTTCTGTAACCACTTAACTACAGGTGGGTCGTGAACTCGTCCACCCATCTAAGCAATAAAGGAGTACTTGAGAAGGAGCAATTTCGTAATGGACAATTAAACACGGGTCATAATGTACCCTATAGACAAACTCTGCGTTTTGCCTACGAGTTGGTTTAATCTGAATGATTCCAAGGGTTACACATATTATCGCCAAGCCGCTTACCACCGTCATTTACATTAAGTAACTTCTCCTTATACGGGATTTTCAGTACCTATCAAATATGAAAAATCAAATATGAGACAGTTGAAGTCGTCGTGGCCCAAAGGATAAGACGTCCGTTGCATTCGTATGTAGCGATGCACCGGTGTTCGAATCCCGCAGGCGGGTATCAATTTTCCTAATGAAATACGTACTTAACAAATGTTCACGATTGACTTCCACGGTGAAGGAATAACATCGTGTAATAAAAATCAAACCCGCAAAATTATAATTTGCGTAATCACTGGTGGTAGGACCTCTTGGGAGTCCGCACGGGTAGGTACCACCACCCCGCCTATTTCCGCCGTGAAGCAGTAATGCGTTTCGGTTCGAAGGGTGGGGTAGCCNTACTTAACAAATGTTCACGATTGACTTCCACGGTGAAGGAATAACATCGTGTAATAAAAATCAAACCCGCAAAATTATAATTTGCGTAATCACTGGTGGTAGGACCTCTTGGGAGTCCGCACGGGTAGGTACCACCACCCCGCCTATTTCCGCCGTGAAGCAGTAATGCGTTTCGGTTCGAAGGGTGGGGTAGCCATTGTAACTATACTGAGACCTTAGAACTTATATCTCGAGGTGGGTGGCGCATTTACGTTGTAGATGTCTATGGGCTCCAGTAACCACTTAACACCAGGTGGGCTGTGAGCACTTCCACCCATCTAAGCAATAAAAAATGTAATAACTGATTTTCACTATGCTTAGCGAATAAATGATTTCTTTCTTTCTTTCTTTCTAAAGCGCTGCAAACATTCACTAAGTTCATCCCGTATTAATAATTGATTTATTGCAAAATTTATACGAGACTTAGCTATACCTAGTTGAACAACAACGTCTGTTTAGCAACCTTTCAAGGATACAAGTTTATTTATAACTAGCTGACCCGGCAAACTTCGTAGTGCCTCAATCTATAAATAAAAGACCTCAGCTTTTGTATAAAATAAATTTAAACCAAACAAAAGGAATCCGTCCGACGGGGGACACATCAAAGGAAAAACAAAATTGTTATTTTTATTTAATTCCGAGGATTTTTCATATTTATCTACCTTCTAAACCTTCCCTGGACTTCCACAAATAATTCAAGACTGAAATTAGCCAAATCGGTCCAGCCGTTCTCGAGCTTTAGCGAGACTAACGAACTGCAATACAATACAGCCAACAATTGAAGAGATCAAACGTTCCAAACAAAAGCGTGTACGGAAAACTAATACTTTGGTACTTCCAGAATCGCGGTTCGCTGTCAACGAATTTGAATCAATATCTTGACTTCGAGAGAGACAGTTCGGTTGCCACCTACGAACTGTATCCGGGAACCGAAACGGACAATTACGACTTCACGGTCGAAAGACACAGTCCGCTACTATATAAGTAAAATAATTTTTACAGCTAATAGATTAAATAGTGCAAAAAATTCCATCCATCAACCATCTCGAAGTATACTTGGCCTAAAAGGGGAGATGCTCGATATTTTTATTATTTATTGCTTAGACTAGCTAGGGTGGACGACCTCACAGCCAACCTGGTGTTAAGTGGGTACTGTAGCCCATATACATCTACAACGTAAATGCGCCACCCACATTGAGATATAAGTTCTAAGGTCTCAAGTATAGTTATGGATGCTCGTGTATCGAGCAATGATGATTTGCTGAGCTTTCAGATCTTGACCTAGATGCTAATTATCAATTAATAAGCCTGTGCCTAATATGCGATCACAATTGACTTTCACGACAAAAAAATAGGTTAAATAAAGAAATAGACTAAATAGGTTGCAGATCAATTCACTCACGGTACTTTTAGCGGCTCAAAAATGCTTAAATTCCAAATGATTTTTTTAAACATACATGACTGAATGAAAGCTGTGAAGTATTCAAAATACAATGAAAATAAAAACTCAATATTAAATAGAAAAAATAGTCTCAATGATGTTTACGATACACGAAAACCAAGGAAAGTACTGTTACGCGCTGAGGGTTCGGGATAAATAAAATTTCACCAAAATACAACTTAAAAACTGTATTCAACGCTTAAAACATTTAAACACTTCACAAACACTTTAAAACTCTCAGATTACTTGTTCCGCTTCGCTTCAGGTGATTCGTTCGCCGTTTCGCTTCGAGTAGTTCCGATTACTGACTGACTGCGTGCCATCCCTACAACGCTTTTATAACCGATACCTCATCCCTAGAATTATCGAGAATATTCTACACATCCCTAGTAATAGTTTCCGCTATCTGTCAATAGATGGCGTTGTACTTCTCGATCGTTCTAGAATCTAGATCCTTCGATATTCGTTCGACTATTCGGCGATAGATGGCGTTACTCATACCGGCGTAACAATACAATGAAAATAAAAACGCAATATTAAACCGTAAAAATGGTCTTAATGATGTTTTCGATATACGAAAGCCAAGGAAACTACAATGCTTGACTGATTAGGTAGACCACCGCTTGTATCTCCGACATTGCTGATGTCTATAAGCGATGATAACTATTTAACACCAGCTAGGAAATGGCAGTTTATATGCTACAATATTTTAATAATCAGCTCGAAAAAATAAATAGGTATATTACACATAAACCTGTGAATTATGAAATGTACTTTAATTCCTCAGTCTATTTGAATCTACGGCATATTTAATTAAAGGATTCTTTGGGGCTGGCATACTAAACGTCCATGTGGCTTACATGTTCGCTGGTCTTTGGACGTCTTTGGTCGTGACGTTCGTCATGGGAGGAATCATCTGTCGTTGTATGATGGTAAGTTATTGGAAAGAACTATGTTAGGTGTTGTTTAGTTAGTTCAATTTCCTCGTAGATAGTAATTGGTCCCCAAAAGTCCCAAATAGTCATATTGCAAGCCAAAGTAGTGTTGGGAAATTGGTTTGATTCGCAAAGAGTGTTAGGGGTCTCGCCTAGATAGACTATTTAAATAGAGCTTGAGTGCAAACTTTGTAATATTAATCCCCAAGCTCTTTAGTCAAATCATCTAATGAACTATTTAATTATCCAAAACAAAGTTGAAGACGCTAATTAAAGTTAATTTGGTCGGTCTCTAGTTCCATTTTATTAAATTTGTCACGCTATGTCTTATCATAGGATTGTATTGATGGAATTATTAAATATTATGGTAAAAACAACTGTCAAGAAGAAAATGCCTGGCTTAATAATCTCCCAAGAGTATCTGATTAAAAAGATGAAAGGCTTGCGCGTATGAGTTTGATAGTTCAAAAATCTTACTTAAAATCCAATTTATTCTCACTAATGTAGATATTTATTTTATCTTAGATTTTGGAGGCTTGGCCTTCGATCAACAATGTTGATCGAAGGGCTTGGCAAATAATTAACCGACACTATGATTTTTTTGGATCTATTATATTTTATGATTTCCATGTCTTCTATGCCTCATCTTCAAATACCGTTGGCATAAATAATATAAGAGCGTTTCGTGGGCATGGCTTACAGACATTTTAGTCCAGATAACCATTCCCCAAGATGTTCATTCATATCCTTGCTAGACTACCATCCTCTTCCTCCGTGCGTCGTACTCCTCAGTGCTGTGGGTCGTGACCTTTACGGAGCACTTTTGTTAGGACTATGTTCTTCCATTCACTCCTGTCCTCCGCGCAGTGGATAGCGACATTGATGCTGCACTCTAAAGTCGTCTTAATCTGATCGCACCAGCGCATGGAACTACGCCCCTTAGGCCTCTTTCCTTCCACTTTGCCGGTGATGAGAAGTATATTCGCAAAGTATATAATGCAAAATTTCTACCTTCTCCATTTAGAATTGGAAGACTACATCACCACCTGATTCATCTTACTCACACTTCCTTGTTTTTCAGCTATTGGTCAAATCAGCCCATAAAATGTACGTGTTGTTGAGAGTACCAAGGCTTACATACGCGGATCTAGTAGAGGCTGTTGTTGCTATAGGACCTTTAAAGAAGTTAAGGAACTACAGCAAAACTCTTCGGTAAATTATTGTCATTGAAACCGGTTTATGCCATTTTAAAATTTAATTATTTTAATAAATTCATTGGCATATTTGATAATTTCGAGATTCGAATAAGAGTCGGGTAGAAGAAAAAGAACTTTGTGGTCTTTTATCAACTCTTTCAAACTATATCTTCAGAGGAGCTACTAAATTCAGTATGATACCCTCGTACAGCTTAAACCTTAAAAATGAAAAAAAACAGTGTAACACGCGTGATCTGGTAAAATGTACCAACCATGTAACAATAATGACTTTAACAAGATTGAGCGTCTCTGGAGAGACCAATACATTGAAGTTGTTAAGAAGGTGGTGCAATGGCCCAACTCTTCGCCGCAGATTCGTAGTGACGTAGATTGGGATTTTTAAGTTAACACTGAACATTTTTAGGAACTTGTATTTTTCCAGGTACTTTGTAGATATCTGTTTATTTGTACAAATGTGCGGGACATGTTGTATTTATGAAATTATCATTGCAACAACATTGAAAAAGGTATTTTTTGTGACCTTACACGACTTCTATTATTATACTGGGCTATTTCTATTTAGCGCTAACTAGAAGTCTTCAGCGGTAGGTCCATAGATAGCCATACCGCGGCTGACTTGTATGATTGACGGTGAAGGTCAGCCGTATGCTGATCTATCTATCAATACGAAAAGCTCTTACGTATCAACAGCCTGAATGTATGACATAACAACTGTGGTGGGACCTGGAGCGAAAGATGCTTTGCTTCTGAAACAGGCAGGTCGGTTATACCAACATTTGCGAGCTTGCAGTACTACTTAAGACCCAGTATATGTAGCAAATATTCCCAAATTCTTGCTTACAAATCATAACAAATATTGCTATTTTATTACAGGTTTTAGAAGCGGTATCCCCTACGCTAAGTCATCAAGAACTGCATTTAAGGATATACGTAATGATCACAATGGTACCACTAATTGCGGTCTGCCTCATCAGAAACATGAGATATTTAGCTCCATTTTCTTTATTAGCTGATTTGTTTATAGGCAAGTTTATAGAAGGGAATTTTTGGAAACCCAAATTGGAATATTTAACGTAGTGTGCTTCATAGATCGGGAAACCTTTTTTTTTATTTATTGCTAGGTCGGAAAAACGAACACGGTTTCATTTAGTTACTGGGTTAATCAGTCTCATCTATACCATCATTAAAACCGAAACGCATGGCTTACACGATAAAATATGCAATTGTAGACCGTATCATAAGCCCGTAAGGATAAGTACCACCAGCTCGCCTTTGCCTAATCTAGACTGGGTTTTATACCTTTAATTAGGGATAGTTTTTGAAGTTATACTTCTTTAGGCGCGTTATGAAAAATTGATGAGAATGAAATTTTACGTTGCGCGCGCACCGTAACACAAAATTAACAGAATGAAGTGGCCCACTAAATCGCTCATCACAATACGACCGACGTCACTTGGCGAGTCTGAATATAGCCGCAGGTGAACTTTCCGAACCGTACCGAGAATTACCGAATTTATACGATGTCAAGAAAAGGGATGTCCAATACGCGTGTTTGGGGATGTCTTTTAATCGATTTTTTTTCAAATTGATTAAAATTTAAATAAAAAAAAGAAATAAATTTAATAAAAATAAAGTATAGCTTCTTACGCGCGTACATAAGTACACGCACCCTTTTTATCCATTTTCAGGTATATGTATGGCCATAGCTCTTTACTATGGAATGTCATCGGCGGTGCCTATACGCGAAAGACCCGCCTGGAAGAACTATGGTGGTCTGATCAGAGGCAGCAGTATTATTCTGTACGCTTTAAGCGGTATTACGGCCACGTTACCGGTTGAGAACAATATGGAAAGGCCAAAATTATTCTTCATTGTTTTGCAATACGGTGAGAGAAAAATTTTTCTAGTTTTCTCAACATATATAAAGACCAACGACGACTCTAGATATATCAGTAATGATTGACTCAAGTGTATGGCGGGATGGATGTAGCATGGTCTGCGTCGACCCTATCCCGCCGTCTCAATGGCCCCGACTGGGCTTTGGTACGGGGTCGGGTGCCGAATCACTCAAGTGTATGGTATTTTTAGGTATGTCAGTGGTGCTGTGTTTGGTGACAGTTACAGGATTTTTTGGGTATTGGGGATTCGGTGAAAACTGCCAGGGTCCTATAACAGTTCACATGGGAGTGTCGGAAGTGTTAGTACCTCTTAATGTATAGTAAACAGTCTAGTATTAATATGATTCTTTTTTTATGCGCCATTAAAAGAGTTTAAGAGTACTTCGTTGTGAGAAAATACTGATAAGCTAGTAAAACTTCGTGCAAGCGTTCAGGTCCTTCAACCTCCTGGTCATATTGAGTGGTTCCACTGTGCTAGACTTCAAATTCTTATCCAGATAATATCATTTTTTCTAATTCATTACCAGCCTTTGGTCAGAATATCTTTGAAGCAAAATGATAAGAATATAAATAATTGCATAATTATTTATAATACCTACGGGTTTTTTTTTTAATTTTATTTATTATTGCTTAGATGTGTGGACGAGCTTACAGCCCACCTGGTATTAAGTGGTTACTGGAGCCCATAGACATTTAGAACGTAAATGCGCCACCCACCTTGAGATATAAGTTCTATGGTCTCAAGTATAGTTACAACGGCTGGCCCACCCTTCAAACCGAAACGCATTACTGCTTCACGGCAAAAACAGGCAGGGTGGTGGTACCCACCCGCGCGGACTCACAAGAGGTCCTACCACCAGTAATTACGCAAATTATAATTTTGCGGGTTTGATTTTTATTACACGATGTTATTCCTTCACCGTGGAAGTCAATCGTGAACATTTGTTGAATACGTATTTCATTAGAAAAATTGGTACCCGCCTGCGGGATTCGAACACCGGTGCATCGCTTCAACACGAATGCACCGGACGTCTTATCCTTTAGGCCACGACGACTTCATATCTATCGGTGCTATCATATTGCTCTATATATAGGTACATATCTCAGTGTCTATGGCCTGCGGTAAACACGGAATGCAAAGCGAGTTCATGAGCAATAAAAACTCAAACTACATTACTTTTGCAAATTATTTAGATCGTACTCAGAGAAATTCCTACCAATTATGTAGTAGCACCTGTAATGTAATGATACTGACAAGTTCCTTTCACAGATTTCCATTGATTTTACAATTCAAGCTGATTTTAATGCTCTGCGTGACTTTTGGTGTTAAATTCTGGGTCCCGTTCAGACTCGTTTGGTATTATCTTGGAAAATTACATAACAGGTTGAAAATATTTCAATTCTTTAATTAATTTAATTTTTAATTTTAATTCTTTAATTAATTAATTAATGTAGGCAGCGGCTTGGCTCTGCTCCTGGCATTGCTGAAGTCCATAGGCGACGGTAACCACTTACCATCTGGTGGGCCGTACGCTCGTCTGCCTACAAAGGCAATAAAAAAAAAATTCGGAGTCACGCTCATCCGTAAAGCTAAATTTACGAACATCATAGATTTAATAAGCCTTATGTTATATACCTTAAAATCTAATACGCATTTAATACATATCAAAATACAGAGGTAAGGCGTATTTAGAACCGGCGCATATAGGTACCACCATCGTTTATTTTTGCTACGAATAAAGCATTCCAGCTTGAAGAGTGGGGCCGTTGTACTATAGAACTGAGACTTGGGACTCATGTCTCAAGATGGATGGCGCATGAATACGCTGTGATTCCTATAGGATTCGATAACCAAACAGTCATATATATCTCAAACATGTTTATTCGTAAATACTTTACGCTGCATACATTAGAATCAATAGGTGAGAGTTTAATTGAAAAAATCCATTTTAAGCAAGCGTGATTACCTTTAAACGTAGTTATAGGCATTCATAATTACATTCTTGCATACATGCATAATTGTATACAAGTCGATTTCATTGAAGTGATTTAATAAAGTAGGAATTAGTCACATTTTTTCCTACCTATGCTGATAGCCTTGAGAGGCTATGTCAGCGTTACCCTAGCGTGTAGGTGAGCTCTCAGGGCTCAAACCGGAAGTGTTGCTAATACTGGCCCTAGCAAGAGCAGCGCTTCGCAGAATCTACCACCGGATCGGAAACGCGACCCACTGAGAAGATCCGGCGAGAAACTCAGTAGGCTTTGTCTGTGGGTTAATTAGTCACATGACGCTAATATTACTATTATTAATCTGCTTTATTCATGCAGAAACTTCATAAAAGCCATAAATTTTAGAGGCCGCAAGCTGTGGGAAAGAATTTATATGATGTTTCTGATTATCCTAATCACGGGTATTACAACATTAGTTCCAAATCTAACCTCCGTTATGGTATTCGTAAGTGCTACTATGTTTATATAATAGTTTATTGTATTCTAACAAATACCAAATATATATTAACTACGTGTTATTAGCCTAGCAGGCTTTTATTGTCTTCCCAGGCAGAAGAGTCAGGTGCATTCCGTAATAATTCACCGTCAATCATGAACATCAATAATGGCTGTGCTTTTCACATTTTAAATTTCGTCTGAAGAAGGCCATGTCATATGCCAAAGCCGTGGAGGAACAGGAATGGTCTCTAGAAATGCAGGGGCTTTAGGTAGTAGGAATGAACTTGGCTCTGGCAGTTGAGGATGGCATGTACAAAAAGATATGACAGGATTATTTGAAACAATACCTCAGAACATTCCCTACACTAATACCAAGTTTTCTTCGTCCTTCCACAGTATTAATATCCTACTACTTACTTGTGCTTTAATGCATGCCTGTGAAGAGTATTACTAGTAGACTATATTCTGAGCCACTGTTTAATAGTGCTACCTATTTCTGCATCGAAGCAATTTTGTGTTCCTGTTTAATTAACCAATACTATTGAGATCTGGCTTGAGTTATTTTGTTCATGTACTTCCACAACCGCCGAACCCCAGATTAATCGTACACTAGTCTGCCAATAAAAAATAAATCTGAGGGTTAAAGGACTACTTACTCAAACAATCTCTACAAGTTGACCAAAAATTTTTATATTTGTATATCCGATGATTCCTGTAGCTGGAAGAGAAGAAGTCTGATAGGAATACAGTCTTACAATTACTATGACCATATCGCTGTCACCAATGTTTCCTAACGCGCTGGGAAAACGAGGAATTGAGCGGTATCATTCGTCGATGTCCCAAATGGCTTTTGGGGCGGTTTTATTTGTTCCTCATTATCCTTCTATTTTAGCCCCTGGCATTGCTGAAGTCCATGGGCGACGGTAACCACCATCAGGTGAATCATGTGCTCGTCTGCCTACAAGGGCAATAAAAAAAAACCAACTGGTGACGCACAGTGCTTACAACAGCTCTAAAATATAGCAAACTCATTAAAATAGGAAATCCTAGTAAAAACTCGTCAAACAATGTGCTTAGTATTAAATTTGATGTTTTGGAAAACAAACTATTTGAGTCACTTGTGGATAATGCCAATGCGATCCTACATCTGTACCGATCGCTAGAGATTCTCTTATTGACACGTAAAAAAAACAAATCTATGGAGGAAGCGAATTACGGTGCTTGTTTCAGATGGGAAGCTTTTTGTTTCCGTTGACGGCCATTATATTTCCAGCTTTAATTGACAGCTTTGCTTTTTGGAACGAATACCAGAAGGAACGTTTCAGGTATAAATGAGTTTTTGATTGAGTTAATTTCAAAATTATTAATTTTAATTAACTTTACTGGAACCCATCCATCCACATCCACAACGTAAATGCGCCACCCACCTTGAGATATAAGTTCTAAGGTCTCAGTATAGCTACAACGGCTGCCTCACCTTTCAAACCGAAACGCATAATTGCTTCACGGCAGAAATAGGCAGGGTGGTGGTACCTACCCGTGCGGACTTATAAGAGGTCCTACCACCAGTAATTACGCAAATTATAATTTTGCGGGTTTGATTTTTATTACACAATGTTATTCCTTCACCGTGGAAGTCAATCGTGAACATTTGTTGAGTACGTATTTCATTAGAAAAATTGGTACCCGCCTGGGATTCGAACACCGGTGTATCGCTCAACACGAATGCAACTTTTTTATCAACGACAATTACATAGTGAAACAAAAATCAAACCAAAAAAGTTACAAGCTGTTGGTAGGACGTTTTGTGAGTCTTCAACGGTAGGTATCATCACCCTGCCTATTTCTGCCGTGAAGAAGTAATGCGTTTCGGTCGGAAGGGTGGGACAGCAGCTGTATTGTAAAAGTAGACCTTAGAACTCATGTCTCAAGGTGGGTGGCGGCATTTACGTTGTTGATGTCTATGGGCTACGGCTTAATACCAGATAGGCCGAGACCCCATGTGGACTCGCAAGAGGTCCTACCACCAGTATTTCGAAACGAAGGTCCTTTACTCGGTCTTCATCATGTCTTGTGGACAAAAAAACATTTTAACATTCGGGTCATTAACCACCAGCCTTAATGAGGGTCGATTGTTTGAATTCATGATTGTTTTATAAAGTAACAAAGGTCTTTTTTTTTTCAGATGGAAGTTAACGATAAATATTATGAGTGTAATGATAGCTTTTACGATAGTAGGAAGTGCTTTTTGTCTGATGTTCATTAAAGTATAATTATTTGATCTGTTTTTTTTAATATTGTGTTAACGTTTAGCAGGAGGCAGCGATTTGGCTATTTCCTTGGCATTACTAATGTCAATGAGCTATTACTACTTACCGTAAAAGTAAGCTCTACATTCATAGCATAGCAATAAATAGCATAGCAATAAATAAAAAAAACTAAGTAAATGCAGTGATATTGCACAGCCTGTTTGAACTAGGCAGTAGATAGAGAAAGTTGTGCCGATCATGACAAGTCTTTCATCCTATTTTAATTATGGTTTAGCTTAATGTATAACGAACATATAAAGCGTAACGTGAACTTGTGTGGATTGGCACCACTGTCCTGCATATCTCAACTGCAAAGCAGACAGGTAGAACAGTCGGCTGAAAGAGATAGCTTTTAGCGATAAAACCGCGTACAATTATACCTGAGTAACCCGATGGTTGTGGTTAGGGGGGATCCGCCGGGTGCAGGCAACGCAGGACCGGCCTTTGTGGCGAGGCTTGGGGGAGGCCTATGTCCAGCAGTGGACGTCTGTAGCGTGATAAGAAGAAGAAGAAGAAGAACCCGATGGTGCAGAAGTTTGCAGCCTGACTGTTACGTGGAGGGATATGGGTTCGATTTCTAAATCAGGTAAACATTATGTGATAAACAAGTTTATTTAATTTTTGTCCGAGTGTTTGTTATTTATATATTATGTATATATTTAAACGTACGTAAGTCTCTGGTACCCATAACACGGAATCCTAAATTTGACCGAATGATCGTGTATGATTTTTTCTTCTTTTCCTCCGTGTATGATTTGTTCCCAGTTAAATATATATACCTACCTATTCTACATGTAGACTGTTTTTCTTTAATGCTAATTGTGTTTTAGTCCCCTCTCTACAGTTGAGACTTTTCGTTACTGAGATTCGCTTTGTCATCTCTTAAGACTCCAATATCCATTTAATACAGGCCGCGAGTAAGCCGTTGAAATTCCCAAAATTTCTTAATTTTTTTTTCTCTAACTCAATCTTATATTTCCGGATTAGCAGTTAAATAAAAGTTAATGCACGCGTAGTAAAAAGTAACGTTATTATTTTATTAGCGGGATCAGGAGGGGAGCACTCTGGAACTACTAAGTAGGTAGTCAGATTCGCAACGGAGAGACGGAAGTTTGTCAAACTTGAGAGGCCTTATTCTGAAGATTTCTAACGTATTGTTAGGTTTTTTTTTTGCTTAGATATCTTCGCCGATGACACGGCTATCTACTACTCGTGTTGGAAGAAGTCTTTGTTACATAGGCGACTCCAGACCGCAGCTACCACCATGGGACAGTGGTTCCGGAAGTGGCGCATCGACATCAACCCCACGAAAAGCACAGCGGTGCTCTTCAAAAATGTCCCTTACAAATAAAGTGACACTCTACAAACCTTGCATACGCCCCGTCATGACCTATGCAAATGTAGTGTTCGCTCACGCGGCCCGTACTAACTTAAAATCATTCCAAGTCATTCAATCTCGTTTTTCAGGATAGCCGTCGGAGCTCCGTGGTTCGTCAGGAACGTCGACCTCAATGACGACCAGAGTCCATCAGCAAGTATCTGCAGTCGGCGTCGATGCGCCACTTCGAAACGAGAACCCTCTCATCGTGGCCGGTAACTACATTCCCGATCCTGCGGACAGAATGAAAAGCAGTCGACGTCGCTCCAAAAACGTCATTTCGGATCCTCCCGATCCACTAACGGTACTTTTAGGTACCTCAAGCACCGGTCATCGTTCTCGTTGAACCCGTCACTTGCGACGAAGGGCTTGACGAGTAAATTAACCATCAGACACAGCCCACTGAGTTTCCGGATCTTCTCAGTGGGTCGCGTTTCCGACCCGGTGGTAAATTCTGCAAAGCACGGCTCTTGCTAAGGTTCGTGTTAGCAACGTCATCAGGTTTGAGCCCCGTGAGCTCACCTACAAGTTAAGGCGACGCTGATATAGACTCTCAAGGCTATCAGCACAAGTAGAGAAAAAAAAACTTAGATGGGTGAACGAGCTCACAGCCCACCTGATGTTAAGTGGTCACTGGAGCCCATAGCCATCTACAACGTAAATGCGCCACCCACCTTGAGATATAAGTTCTAAGGTCTCAGTATAATTACAACGGCTGCCCCACCCTTCAAACCGAAACGAACTACTGCTTCACGGCAGAAATAGGCAGGGTAGTGATACCTACCCGTGCGGACTCACAAGAGGTCCTGCCACCAGTAAGATCGGATTCATCGAAGAGCGCTGATTTTCGGCCACTCCCCTTTCTCCTTGATGTATTGCCGTATTTAGGGCTAGATACCAATCTCCAGTCCAATACTCAGAATAATATTTGTTTTATTTCTGTCGCACGTCAGAATAATACCGTGAGCGAAACGAGAATGGCCAGTAATTATCATTGCCGTTTCAACGGCTGAAAGGGATATGCTGATCCCAAGGAACCACAATCCGGGATGAAAATTAATGTTTCACGTTGGTAGTGCGTTAACAGTTGACAATTCGTTAGCACGGTATTGTCATCGACAATAGTTTGGGGGCTTCCCGTTATTTTGGATTGTCAAATTGGATATCTGCTCTAAGCGAGCAGTGGATAATCTGTAATATGCCAGATAATGTGATTATCTTGTGTTTTTATTTATGACCAGCGACCCGCCCTCGCTTCGCTTCGGACACATTAAATTTTATTATTGATAGGCGAGTCCCGCCATGTTGCGCGCGGTACGACAATAAGTGCGGGTGACGCCGCGGGGCGAAGCTAGTCTAAAAAAAGTAACCTTAGTTACTCCTTATATCATCAGCTACATATTAGTGAAAGTCTTATTTAAATTGGTCCAGCGGTTCCAGAGATTAGCCGGAACAAACAGACAGACAGACAGACAGACAAAAATTGTAAAAAATGTTATTTTGGTGTGTGTACCGTATATATATTCATAAATGCATGTAGTAAAAAGCGGTTATTTCAATATTACAAACAGACACTCTAATTTTATTTATATGTATAGATGGCGCGTCTATTGATCCAGGGTTGAAACTTTGTGTAAGTGTTAGACGATTAGCGCCGTAGTACCAACAAATAAGTCCAATTAGAACAGTAAGCAACGGCTTGGCTGTGCCCCTAGCATTGCTGACGACCATGGGCGACAGTAACCACTCGCATCAGGTGGACTAAATTCTCACCTGTCTATAAGGACATTAAAAAAAAGTTGATTGAACTAATGTCTGTTTTTCATACAATTAGCATAGTAGCCACAGCGGATCATGACTCAGCGTCACTAGTAATAACAAAGGTAGGTTAATAAATTTGAATATGATACAGGAATTGGTCTATTTTATATAACCAACAGTTGTTGGTACAACATCTTAGGAGTCCGCACCGGTAGGTACCGCTGCCCTACCTATTTCTGCTGTAAAGGACGTGGTAGCCGTTGTAATGTAAAACCTGGGACTTTGAACTCTGTATCAATGAGGATTGATCCACTAATGATGCTTTTAGGTACCTCAAGCACCGGTCATCGTTCTCGTCGAAAGCGTCGCTTGCGACGAAGGGCTCGACGAGTAAATTAACCCACAGGCACACAGCCCACTGAGTTTCTCGCCGGATCTTCTCAGTGGGTCGCGTTTCCGATCCGGTGGTAGATTTTTGTTCGCAATGTCATCAGGTTTGAGCCCCGTGAGCTCACTTACTAGTTAAGGCGCCGCTGACATAGGCTCTCAAGGCTATCAGCTTAGGTAGGAAAAAAAAAATTTGATTTGAACACGCAATCTTCTGTTATACATCCCTACATACATACCCGGTAACCACTTAAAGCCAAATTCCCGGTAAGTCTATTCCAGGATCTAATTGGTTTTTTTTTAAATAAGGAGCTGTAATTTCACATCTTCAGAGTCAATAACCGTGGTGCGCGGTCGCGACACTTTACATGCAATGTTTATTAAAAACACAACACAATTGCTTTCAAGGTTAAAATATTCATTCATTTCAATATGAACAGACAACATTCGTATCAATTACCACACCAAGATGCGTATTAAGTGTCGTCGTTGTTAAAGCCGAATTTACATTACGAAATTAGTGGCGTGAAATTAATTTCGTGACATTAGTTTTACTAACAGTTTCACGTGTAATTTAATACTTTCGTAATGCATGCATTAATTTCATGCATGGAAATTAGTTTCGTGCCCTGCGCGATTTTTTGGTGAAATTAATGTCATGCAACTAATTTCATAGTGTAAACGCGACGTGAAACTAATGTCGCGAAAGGGCCTGCGCTGTGCGGACGTGTGTATTGTTAGTTCGGACGCGCTTCAAGCGTTGAAAATGGCAAACCAATGATGGAGTACAGAAAAAAATATAGATCTTATTAATGAATATCAATGACAAGGGTCCCGAAACACCTATAGTAAAAAATCAAAATTATCTTCACTCATTCGAAAATAGTTTTTATAACTCTCAGGATCTTCATCTGCTAATTCAGAGACTAACTTCATTGCACCTAAATGCCTTCTTGTTGACCATCCTCGAATCTACCAACTTTTTTTTTCTTGATAGTCTTTTTTAAGTTTATAGGTATATAAGCATTTCTTTAGCTACATTGAATATAGTAAATTATAGCTTTGATGCTAACGGCGCGGCGCCATGGTTACTGCGATACTGTGGATTTCGCGACACTAATTTTTTAACGAAATTACTTTCGCGTATATCGAAACTACTTTCGTGAAACTGAGCTCAACATGCATGACACTAATTTCGTAATGTAAACTCGGCATAAGGCTTAAGAAATGCCAACGTCACAGTCTGGTAATAATTTTGTTTACTATACTAATCAACGACTTTAGTTAGGTGGAAATGTTTAATGTTTTCTATTCCCCAAAATTACATAACCACTAGCGTACCTATCCCACAAACGTTATAGTGTGTACACGTCTTAAGACTTAAGTCCTAAAATAATTTAAAAAATATTGTCGTGGATTTAAATGTAAATCTAAAGCT